TCTCTTCCTCTATCTCATTCTGCTTGGGGTATTCACAGTCAGCTCCTGCAGCTGAGGCAATGGGTTTTTCCATTCATCTGTCCAGCTCATGGCAAGGCTTGACAAACTTTGCAGGCAGCCGCCATGGACCTGTAGGTAGGATACAAATATACCCCCTCCCCCAGGTTATCAGTTCTTGAGAAGTAGACAGGTTAAAGTGATTCCTTAAAGCAGAGGCATTCTGATGAAAAAGGAACGTGAAGCAGCTGCAGAAGTAAACTGCACAGTGTTAACAGTCAAGGAGTTTGCTGTGTCATTACCCTTTTTTTTTTCTGCTTTCTCTGCCACCGTGATGCTGCTTGGGTGGCAGTGGATAAAGCTTGTGGTTGCACTACCCCTCTAGCTTTTTCTGTTAGCAGTTCTTGTTTCAACCGATCTATCTGTTCCTCCAAGTCTTGGATTCACCACCAGGTTACTTTAAATGCACTAAGCAAGGCTCCTACCATGCGCCCAGCATGTTGTAGACACTCCTTAGGCTTTGTTTGTGGTGTCTCTGCAAACTGCCCCAATACTTCAATAGATCGAGAGGGGTTTTTGGAGGGGGGTTGTTGGGTTTTTTTTTCTTCACTCCTCGGCTCTGGCATCCATCCTGGCCGTTCCACCGCTGGAGCACTGGGAGCTGAATCGGAAGGCAGCTTCTTTTGAACATGGTTACCCAACTCTAGCAAATAACTTTTTTTTTCTTTTTTTTCCAAAGTCGCTCACCCTGCTTTGTGCAGCTACAAATGCCGGCCTGCTCAGCAGCAGCTATAAATGCCTGCCTCCTCAGCAGCGGCTACAGCCACCTGCCTGCTCAGCAGCAGCCATAAATACCTGCCGCAACCGCACTTTTACATTAACCCTTTCTTGCCCGAAATGTCAATCTGCTACCTGTTAAAAATTTTTACATGAACCAAACAACAAAAAATACACAGAACACCGTCTGCTCTCAACACACACACACACACACACACGATCCCCCAAGCACACTCCACACAACTACAATATTTGAAACACAAAATCCAGGCAATCATTACTCCCACTACACGGCCCCACATACAGAACGTGGCGTAAGGACCCTGTGAAGACGATCAGGAAACCAGCTCCAAGAAGCATCATCGCAGTGTGAGGTGGCAGGCCCAACTTCAGCAGGCGTCCCCGCGGAGGCTCTGCCTCCCCCGCATTGCATGAGGCTTGGGCTTTTATACTGACCAAAATGCACACTCGTTCCGACACAGGTGGCCAGCCTACATCAGAAGAAGTGGCCAGCAATATCTATAAAGGTCTCCAAGGGTCAATAGAAACATGGACATACTTATATTTGCCAACTTCTAGTACATGAGTATCACAGAGAGACTGTATCAAATGAGTTGTATATGGGTCCCCCAGTCCACAGTCTGCCACGGTCCGCCTGATATCCCCGATAAGAGCATATGAGAGGCTTTCCCACCGCAGGTCTTGATCTGGCACATACACCACTGGGAAAGCATGCAATATATCAGCATCCCCCACTGGTCTCGCTTCTCCCTTTACAGCTGCCCATTTATCATGAGTATCTGGGGGATATAAATCAGGCTCCTTTTCTGGGTCAATAGGCTCCAGGTCAAAAGGACAATCCAGTTCAGCATTAGAATTATCAGGCATCAGAACCTCAGGAGCAGCAAAAGCAGTCTGATGAACGTGCACAGGATCTTTCTCAGGGTCAATAGGGCCTGGGTCAAAAGGATCATCTTCATCCCTGTCCTCAGTTTTCACAGCCGTGGCGGCGACTGGCAGAGGTTTGGGGGGGGGGGGGGGGCACTGGGTTCCACGATCTCATATTTTGACTTTAATTCTCCAAATGACTATTGCATGGATGTCTCTAGACCAGTCTAGACCAGCCATTCCTTCTCAGTCAGGCTGATTTCTGCCTCCAGTACAGTCAACTCTTGGGATCCTCCTGTCACTCCAGATATACAAATGGGTCCTACCCCTTGATAGCTTGATGGCATCAGGGTCCACTGTGCACCGGTATCTACTAGAGCCTTATACTCCTGTGGGACTGATGTGCCAGGCCATCTGATCCACACAGTCCAGTAAACCTGATTGTCCCTCTCCTCCAGAGAGGGACAGCAAATTTTCAAGTTTACAGACTATGGAGTTTTTAATCATGAAGCCAACTCCAGAAAGATGACTTTCAGTTTTGGATTTGCCTGACCAGTAGAGTGTATAGCCGGCACCATGTTCTTTAAGGCTACCTTCCTCATGAAGGCAAACTTCACTGAGAGCAGCAATATTGATGTTAAGTTGTGACAATTTGTGGGCAATTAGCGCAGAAAGGCGCTCAGGATGCCCGCTGTTTGCTGTATCAAGCATGGTTCTGATGTTCCAACATGCGAGTGTCAATCTGGACACATCTTTGGAGGCAGGTGTATGCCTTTGTCTCTTAGGTAAAACACATGCAGCATATTCAGCAACATGCCGATTCCCAGCAAAAGGAGCAGGATGATTTCAATGGCATTAAAAGGATATTCAAAATCTTTAATATTTTTAAATGCTGCTGTAAATAGCCTGGTGGGGGAGCAGAGGGTGTGAGAGGATGTCTCCCTCATAGGTTGATCCTCCAAGGGGGTAAAAAAGAGGTGTAATTGTTAACAGTTCCCATTACATGCCTCCTGAAGTATAGAGGTGATGTCCATGTTGAGAAGACATACCAGAGCAGTTTCATGATCAATAATTCTGTTGTATTATAAGACATTATCATAGAGTGAAACGAGAATCTTAGCCCTTGTCCCAAAGCTGATAACACTAATACCGGTTGCAAATAAGGTGTGACATAATGAAACTCTGAGACCAAGTGCAACAACTCTGAGGGCAAATATATCAACATTGTGATGAGTGACTATTAATCTGAAATAATGAATGCTTATCACAGATACGATTAGATGCACTCTGGTCAGATCTGTCGCTATCTCAAACCTTCAAGCCCCACGTTGGGCGCCACAAAGGACTGATGTAGTTTAAGCCACACACAGCCACTTGCTCACTCCCCCCCTTCTTCCCCCACCCGCTCCCAGAGGAAGGGGGAGGAGAACCGAAAAGAATATTAGTCCCACGGGTTGAGATAAGAACAGTCCAGTAACTAAAGTATAATACAAAACTATGCTTACTACTGCTACTAAAGAAAAGGGTGATAACAGGGGGAGAGAATATAAAACTAAAAGGGGAAAGGAAAAGAAAACAATAAACACAAGTGATGCACAATACAATTGCTCACCACCTTCCAACTGATACCCAGCCCGACCCGAGCAGTGGTCTCAGCCTTCTGGGTAACTCCTCCATACTGGGCATGATGTGCTGTGGTATGGAATACCCCTTTGGTGTCCTGTCTCTGCTTCCTCCCGGCTTCCTGTGCCCCTCCTCACTGGCAGAGCACGAGACTGAAAAGTCCTTGATCGGAGTAAGCAATTACTCAGCTACAACGAAAAACATTGGTGTGTTATCAGCATTGTTCTCAGACTAAAGTCAAAAACACAGCACTGCACCAGCTACTAAGAAGGAGAAAAATAACTGTTACAAAAATAACCCAAGACAGTGGATATATATGATTTTTTGGGTGATACAAATTATTTGCCTAAGGATTTAAGCACTGAATTATCTAAATGCACAGCAGTGATGCTTGTTTAAATAATTACTAAGTCCACAAATGTTATAGGGAGAGAATGGGGAGATTTGGACTTATGTCTGTATTAAAAAGTAGAGTTTCTTTTTTGGTGTAGCATGAGATTTTTTTTGTCTGTTTGAACACCTGATGTCACTGAATCTAGACTGTTGTTTGGTTGGCATCAGGGGTTTCTTGCTGGATTAAACATCCGTATTCAAGATTCCCTGGTACTCTTTCCCTTGGCTTATTTTTCAGGAAAAAAAAACCCACAGAACAGATGGCCACTTGATTTGCAGGGCAGCACTTACATCATAGCCTGTTTTAGATTATTTGGCAGTTTTTAAAGTGCAAAAGTGGGCCCTTTATTCCTTTTACTTACAAGTCATAGTCTTATTATGGATAATCTGGAATTTGGGAGCATTTGTTTTATATTTTAGTTCTGCAACTGACTCCTCTGTGGCCATGGAAGCTTCTTGTTTCCTGTACCCACCTCCCCATCTTTACAACAGATCTGATATTTTCACTCCACATGGCTGACAGGGATTAGATAATGCTGAGTATGTGAATTAAAACCATCTAATAATGTTGATAGAAATCATCAAATGGAGGAAACATTGCAGATTTAAGGAGTGTCTGGTTTAAATCCTTTTTCAACCCAAAAGTTACTGAACTTTTGCAGTTGGGCCGGGTGTGCCATGTGTTTACCTGTTCATTGGTGTGCTGGAGGGCCAGCACCTGTTTTCCACTGGAGAATATCAGGTGCAGATGCAGTTACCTTCATTTCCTAAAGTAATTCCAGATGTAGGGGTAGAGCATTGCTGGCCTGCCCCCGAAGCTTAACTTCTCCAACTGGAAAGCTCAGCAACAGCTCATGTCCTGTGCTGGTGGCAGCAGGATGCACCCATCACCTCTGGTGGCAGGGAATCACCATCCATTCCACTTCTGATGTGAGGGTGCTTGACATTATCTCTGTGTGCATTGACATAAAATATAACTCTAAATCAATGAGGCAAAACATTATATTGTTATATTTGTACATGTTTGAAGTGGCTATGAAAAACATTTTTACCACATTGATTTAAAGGCTGAATTTAGTTTTTAGCATTTTTCTTTTGTGTTTATCAAGAGAGGTTTGTGCTTTTCTCTGATAAGCTTCACTTAGAAAATCCCATCTGTTTGGGATATGTAGAAAATAAGCCACTTTGTATGGTCATATTCCATTGATCATGTTTTTTCTTGTCAGTGCATAGTGACTAAGACCTGAGCTAGAATACATAGTGTTTCTGTGTGCCAACAAGGTGATGCTTCCCTATCTAACCTTCCCTGTTTTTCATTGTAGGCTTGATCCCTATACAGATTCCTATTATGACTATGAAATAGAACGGTTCCGGCGTGGTGGGCAGTATGAGAATTTCAGGATTCAGTATGCAGACCCAGATCCATATCGTAACCACAGAGTAAGTAGTTTCCGTGCTTCTCCTTTCAGCTTTCTTCCAGGCACTTCTGGCCCTTGTCATGTTTCTAGTGCAGTGGTTGAAACAGGACTTGTGATGGATGTTCAAGATGCATAATCTTACAAATAGTTAAATCTTGACAATTACTGCACAGAAGACATTAGGTGTAGGGATGGGAGGAGGTTCTGTTTCAGCGTGGTGAAGGCAAAAGCATGTCTGAGATGGGAAGATGGTTCCTCTTCAATGCACTGGCTGCTTCTCTGCATACCAGGCAGTTGTGCAACAGTTGCAGCCACATTTGCAGCCATTCTTGGACATATTGGAGAGGGAGGGAGTTTCCAGGAAATAACCCGACTGAGGTTTGCTTGTTAGTTATTGGGACAGACAGAAAGGATTGAATCTGGACAGGCGTGCTTAATGCACAGAGTCTCCATCATGACTGTCCACCGCTAGTGGGGTTACATGTTAGTTGATCGAGTTAGGTGAGGAAACCACCCAGCCAGTTGCTGAAATCCCAGATATTGTCGATTGGTGTTGCACTGCTTTAAGGTGTCAAACTACATGAAAATAAGGCTATGAACCTTTTCCCTCCACTTCCTTTTGCCCTCATGCAAGCTATTGTGCCTCGAGAGTAGTGACAAAAAATAATGAATTCTGTTCAGTGGGGAGCTTTTCAGTGGTATTTGTCACATCCTTTAAAAATTGACTTTCCTTTGCCTGGAAGACCTTGCTGTTATGCAGAAGCAGTGCACAAGCAGGAGCCTGTCCTCACTATTGATGCGCCATCAATTATTTTCATGGTGTTTGTACAGTTAATTAGCTAAACACAATTAGCAATGAGAGTAAATACTTGTAAACATCAATACATTTATTTAATAAGTGTAATAAGCTAAATTAATCTGACTCTTGCCTTTGAAAATTACAGCTGTGATGAGTATGATGTATGCTTTGTTCCTTTCCACGTTCTGCCTGCTCAGCAAACAGTGATGGCCAGCAAGCTCCACATTTATCTATCTCAATACTTTGGTCTAACATGGGAGGGTGAATGTAACTCCTTGTGGTCCAAGACTTTGAATCTTTGCTGCCCACTTTGTTAGGAGATGTTGCCACAACATCATGATGTTTTCTCTTTCCTTTTTAAAGGAAAGAGAGCGGGAACGGGAGAGAGAGAACAGACAACGAGAAAGGGAACGTGAGAGGGAACGGGAGAGGCGTCAGCGGGAGCGAGAACGGGAAAGGGAACGGGAGCGCGACAAGGAGCGCCAGCGGCGGAAAGAAGAGTGGGAACGGGAGCGAGAACGGGTGAAGAGAGATGAAAAAGACAGGCAGCACAGGGACCGGGACAGGGACCGGGAAAAGGAGAAAGAAAAAACAAAGCCCCGGTCCTTACTGATACCTAGGTAAGCACTTGCTGGATTTCAGACTTGCCATTTTAGCTGATGATGTCCTAGCTGTGGATCACGAACCAGGCTGATGCTGATCAGTGGAGATCTCTTTTGTCCACAACTCAAGTAAAGCAGTAGTTTTGAGAGGAAGGCAATGCTTTAAATGAGCCTTGCTGGCCACTAAGAGGAGCTAAGATGTCAGTAAGAACCAAGCATGCATAACCTGACTGAAAGGAGAGCATCTGTCCTCTGGCCTGTAGGTATAGAGATGTTCAGCTTGTCCCTGTTCCCTTGAGGCTAGAGCATGTCCTGGGAAGCTGGCCGAGTCCCTAGTGCTGAGAGAGTCCTGCAGATGGTGGCAGCTCCCTTTGATGCTTTGACAAATATCCTTTGACAAGAGCCAGGGCTGGTTTGGGAGTTTGTGGATAGCAAATGTATCTGGAAATTCATTAAGTTAAACTCCACAAAGAGGCTAGAAAAAGTAAAGGGATTGTATGTCTCGAAATGAGTCTCTGCTGGGTGGAATGTGGTGTGGAGCCAGGTTTCTTGCTTCTGACTACCCATTTTTTTCTTAAAATCCCAGTTCTGACCTGTGTGTGAGAAAAAATTGAACCAGATCGACTAAAAGTCTAGGAATTTCAAAAGTGACTCCTATTCTGTTCCTCTCACAATTATTTAAGTACCATGAATTAGGCATATTTGTAAAGCACTGTATAAATATCACAGCAGAATATAGAGCTTGTCTTATGGGAAATTCTGATATCACAGTGTCTTTTGGGTCAGAAGAGTATCAAGTTTCTTGTGAAGGACATCTCCAGGAAACCTGATTAGCAGTGTCAGTGTCTTGGAAAGAGTGGCAGATAGTGTCTTCCAACAGCATGTTGAGGAACATGTGGACATACATGTGTATGTGTGTGTTGGAGCAAAGAGGGATGCAGGGAAGCTGTTTCCCAAGACATATTTGAGCTGCTGCTTCTGCCTGATGTCTGTAGTGTTTTTCGAGCACTAAAGGTGTGAAACATCATGAGCATGATGTTTTTTCACCAAAGCAAAGGGCTAAGAAGGCCCAGAACAAGGTACCACATGGAATTGTGTGGTTTCAGGTGGGAGCAGGGTTTAGTCTTGAATCTGACCCTGAATTTTTATTTGCATTACTAGAAGGAAATGTGATTTTTTGATGATGACCCGTTTTTCCAAGAGGAAGTCACAGTTTCAGAACAGTTTGAAGGTGTCTTGTGAGTGCTTTGGTGCAGTAGCAGAGTGGCTATAGGAATACATTCAATTATATGCTACGTTTAATTATAATCTTCACTTAGAAGTATAATTTGTGCACCTTAATTGCCACATTTGCTGTTGGTTTGTGCTCCTGTTGGGTTAGTGCTGGAAGAAATCTTGCTGTCCAGAACCATGTGATAAAGGTGATGAGAATAATGAAAGTGACATCAGCTGATGGGCAGCTCAGGTTGTTAGTCATTAACAGTCACTGTGACCGGGATCATTGCACAAGGCTCAGGCTGCTGGTTGCTTCTTCCCTTGACACTCAAAGGGTCATGGGGCAGGGATTTGTGGGAGTTTTTGCTGTTAGTGTGGCTCAGAGTTTGCTGGGGAGTAGTGGTAACCATGTTCCTCAATCTTGGATCCATCTTGCCCCATGTAACCATCTGTGTGAGCTGAGACACGGAATTTATGGTGCTTGCAATATATGCTTTGTGGATGCAGGTTCCCTGCTTCCCTCCCGTGCCACCTCTTTGACATAAGCACTGCTTAAGGAAGCTGGGGATGCCACTTGGATCTCCAATATAGGCTTCTTAAGACGAGTCTTAGTGAATTAAAAATAGCCTTGATACACCTCATTGCCTTTTTTAAAGTTTGCTGTTTCTAGAAGCATGTACAGAATCTACTGTTGGAAGTGTCCTTAGCCTCATCCTCTAACGTAAGTGCTGTGTGCAGTTCTGGTGTCCTCAACATAAGAAGGACATGGAGATGTTGGAGCAAGTTCAGAGGAGGGCCGCAAGGATGCTAAGGGGGGCTGGAGCACCTCCTGTGTGAAGACAGGCTGAGAAAGTTTGGGCTGTTCAGCCTGGAGAAGAGAAGGCTGTGTGGAGACCTCATAGCAGCCTTCCAGTATCCGAAGGGAGCCTACAAGAATGCCGGAGAGGGGTTCTTCATCAAGGACTGTAGAGATAGGACAAGGACTAATGGGTTTAAACTTAAACAGGGGAAATTTAGATTAGATCTAAGGAAGAAGTTCTTTACTGTGAGGGTGGTGAGGCACTGGAATGGGTTGCCCAGGGAAGTTGTGAATGCTCCATCCCTGGCAGTGTTCAAGGCCAGGTTGGACATGGTTTTGTGTGTGGTTTCTCTGCCCATGGCTGGGGGGTTGGAACTAGATGACCTTAAGGTCTTTTCAACCCTAACCAGTCTATGATTCTATGACTGTGGGGCCAGGTAGCTGGGAGAGAGGGACAGCAAGCAGGGCTTTCTTTTGGCTTCATTTGCATGGGGTTTAAAAGCTGGTGGCAAGAAGAGTTTGTCATTTTCATGTTAAGAAGCTAGTTTTGAATGAAAAGCTTTAAAATCTCCCCCACAAAATCTTAGGTCAGCACCTACACACAATATTTCCTCTTAGGGGAGAATGGAATTAATGGAGTAATTATCAGTAAACCCAAATGCCTTGTGTCTTGACAGAAGCTCTCCAGTACTCTTTAACAGGACTTCAGTTCCCCCTGTTGAAACCCATGTCAATATGAACACTTACTGCAGCATTTACTGGTGTATGGATGTTTGCAGAGAAAACAAAGCTGCAGAAATAAGTTTCAAAAAAAGCTTTTTAACAAAGTGAAAGCATAAGTCAACTTCTTTTCTCTTGGAGAAGACATCTCTCATCCAGCAGTTTGTGTTTCCCTACACTGCATTCCCTAGAAGCTTCTGTCACAATTAGTGTGATTTGGCTCTGGGCAGTGCTGTTTTGTCCCACATAACCTTTTTGAGAGGCTCCATACTTCCTCATGGCAACGTGGCAGTCTGAGTCATCTCACCTTTCCTCCAGATACCTCTGTGCTGTGCTGTATAGGGTCAGGTTTGGCACCTCGGGATTAAACAGCTCCTGAGTTTGTTTAATGTGTAAAATGCTTGTGATTGCTTTGTACTTCCTGGACAGCAGGATGCATGATAGTGGCGTAGAGCTCACCTGTGAGTCTGTTTATAGACTCTGGGCTTTCCCTAATTTCTAGATCCCAGCTTTTGGCAAGTTTGGACTTTACAGGTGTCACATGGCAATGGATGGGGGCTGTCCCTGCCCTGCTGCAGGTAGTTGCCCTTTAACATTCCTGCACCAAAGTCAGCACCACTTCCAGCTGTAGCCCACATGGCCCTGCTCTTCACTTACTAATGATTTGTAGAAAAACTCCAAGAACTCACCAACGAAGTTTAAGTTGACAAGCAGGTATTCTTTATTGCGGGGCCAGGAAACACGGGGGATAGCTCCTCCTAGTGTGTCTCTCTCAAGCACCAAACAAGCCATGATTATATAGTCATCAAACATACATATACATTACATTGCATGCATATTCATAAAGCTACTTATACATGACATAATTCTTCTAGAAAATTCCTCCCTGGTGCACAATAATGTGGTAGTGGTCTTTGGGACCCCTAGTGGTCATTTTTTCCTCATCTTCTTCCTCACTTCGTCCTTTGGCTGAACTTTAGGTTTGGAAAGTCCCATTGTTATGCCAGCAAACACTAGTTTGGTTCTAGCTGGGTTTTGTAAAACATTTACCTAAGATATTTCTTCACTGTCATCTACAACAAAGCTCTTACCCATTGCTATTGTTGCAAAGATGCCAAGCTCAACATTACTTAACCACAAAGCAGAACTGATTTTACTTATTTACAAAAGATTATACTTCATTTTGTATTTGTTTCACTAATGAGCTGGGGAGATTGGAAAATTGCTCCACAGAAGTTGTGCAACTGGCCATGAGTTTTGCCAAAGGCAGAGCTGAGGATGTCTGTAGTTAAAGGTAGATGCTCATCTGTCCATCAGCTTGGAGTTCCCTCAAGTATAGGTGGAAGGAACAAATTGTGACATTGTCGTGGTTTAAACCTAGCTAGACAGCTCGTTCACTCACTCCCCCCCTTTTCCTCCCTCTTTCTTTCCTTCCCCCTCCCCCCCTTCCCCGCTCCCGGAGGGATGGGGAGGAGAATCAAAAGAATGTAACTCCCACGGGTTAAGATAAGAACAGTCCAGTAACTAAGGTATAACACAAATCACCACCGCTACCACCAACGACAACAATAAGAGAAAATAACAAGGGAAGAGAATACGATACCACCCACCGAAAACGAGTCTGACCCAGAAGACCTCGTGTTCTTCCGGGTAACTCCCAGTTACCCCCCACCCCGGGCATGACGTGCTGTGGTATGGAATACCTCTTTGGCTAGCTTGTGTCAGGTGTCCTGTCTCTGCTTCCTCCCGGCTTCCCCTCCTCCCTGGGAGAGCACGAGACTCACAAAGTCCTTGGTCAGAGTAAGCATTACTTAGCAACAACTAAAGACATCGGTGTTATCAGCACTGTTCCCAGGCTGTAAGTCAAAACACAACGCTGCACCAGCTACCAAGAAGGAGAAAAATTGACTGCTACTGCTGAACCCAGGACAGACACACACAATGTGGTGTTGAAAGGATGAAAGAAAACTAAAAGCAAATAGCCAGGAACATAAAAACAAATTCCATTTCTGTTATATTGAAAGCAGGAAGGTTTAATCTGATCTCTAAACAACAGCAGAGCAATTAAGGGTAATAACACAGAAAAGCCAGAGGACTTCCTGGCATCACTGGTTGCTACAGATGAGGAGGATTAGAATTTAACAGCAAACAAGGATTGTAAACCCTAATGGACTCAGTGGCAAATGCTTCTCCTTGAACCTATTAAAAGAAGAGACTGCAGTGTTTGGACTTTAAGTAGGATTGTCAAATGTGGTTTGGACTTTTTTTGAAGGAGTGCTTACTGCTTTGTGCTTTGGGTTGTT